TATTTTGTCAGTTGACCCAATGAAATTATTCCTCAATTGACTATATCGACTAGCTGTTTTGCAGTTGTGTAGACATGTTTTTGGAGACAAAAATATTGCTGGAAAATACTTAGTCAGTGAAAGTTAATAACAGGCCACAGGAGAGAACTTTAAAATGAATCCTTGTGCTTCAGTGAGGTGATATATTGTAATGCAGATTATATTGATTTACTGCAGATATCCATATCAAATTGGTGTTCCCTTCAAGTGAGCTTATATATTAATATCTGTATATTATAAAAGTCAGAATGCGAGTTTGTTTGATGTCATTTTCACAAACAACCAAGTGAAGTTAGACTGTCATTGGATCTTTAGATTTTTTCCTAGCATTACACAGAAATTCATTAACTAATTACATTCTCTCAATTTTTTATCTCTAGTGTGCACTTAAAAGAAGAATAGGAAGTTCAGGACTTCTGACTCTAAGCTACTTGCAATGATGATTCTGTGCTTGTGACATTTAGTGCAAGTATATTATCCATTCACAGGGTCTGTACTCAGAGGTGACATGCTGTAGTTCCCCGTAGTTACAAAGAAGCTCGCTCTTGTCCTCTCTGGCTTTAGAGTTTGGCTCATTCACATAGTTTCTTTACACTGACACTGTTTTAGGACGCTTATCTTTATGTTGAGTAGCCATTTTCAACCCTAAAACCAAATGGAAAAATCAGGAATAATTACTGGAAAACTGAAATTCTTAAAGGGCATTAATTCTAAAGCAGATCATGCTCTGTCCTTGTCTGTGTATCTTCCGCTTTTGGTGTCTTCAGTCTACATGCCCAGGCTTTTGGCACTCTGTTGCTCATGTTCTTAACTGTTGTAAATATATTGAAGGTCAACAGCTCTGAATTATAGAATTTTAGAGGAAGAAGAGATCTTAATGAAGACCTTTCATTTCCTTAATGAGGAATAAGAGCTCCAGAGGATTTATGGAAGTTGCCTAAGGTGAGATAGAGGTAGTGACGAAAGCAGAATTAGGCCTTTGTTCTGTTGCCCTGTTATCCATCATTTCCTTCTTTGAGAGGCTGCAAATGAAGCGTCTCAATAGCATAGTGATTAAGACCCTGGAATCTGGAGCCAGGCTTTCTTGATAAAACTCTGGCTCTATTCCTTGCTAGCTTTGTGACTTTGGGAAAATTACTTAACCTGGCTGTCCATCTCATTTGTACAATGAGAATAAGAATACTACTCATTTCGTAGGAGTAATTATGAAGATTAAATGAGTTAATATTTGTAAGGTGAATAAAATAGTGCCTGGGATAAACTAAGTGCTCTATAAATGTTTTTTAATACTAATACCAAGAGGGAAACCAGTCTAGACAGAGAGGACACATTATCCCTGATGCATATATTTCACTTTCAATATTGTAGCCAATGTTTTAATAATACTAGTTTAACATAAAGGAAATATAGGCATCATATAACAAGTTATAAAGATTAATGGAGATCATGTATGATATCTTTACCTCATATCTTCAGCTCTTACGTTTTTCAAACACATCCTCTATTTTTCTATTGCTTAGAAATACTTTTCTATTGGGCCTTTTTTGAATTGACAGTTTTTGATAACAAAGATAAAATGTTAAGTCTTACCAGAAAATGTACACAGGGACCATAGGGAAAAAATGCTGAGCTGTGTCTAAAAATTGATGATGCTTAAATTTTGGTCTTTTATAAATCAGCATTTGAAAATATTGTATTTTAGTCTTTAGTCTTTCCTTTCAATAATTCCTGAGAGATATGGACATAGCTATTAACAATATGCAGTCAATACTAAAGTTCTTATCTAATACCTTAAATTTATCTAAGAATGTTCTTGTTTGAATAAAAAAATCCCTGATCTTTGTTTCCTTTGGTTTGAGGACTTTCTACCTAATTAGAAGCCAAATGATCCCTCTATATTAACTCTTTTTTTTAATGATCTCTATTTGCAGAGAATATTTTAGGGGGAAGTTTTCACTGTTTTTCTTAGCGACTGTCTACACTTGAGAAAAATAGCTTCAGGCTTAACATTTTCAGTGCGTGTTTGAAATGGTAACTGCACCGTCATGCAGCCTTTGCATTCGTGAGCTATTTTCAGCTCTGGCTGCTTTTAAAACAGAGTGGAGAGTGTAACAGCAGCTACCAAAGGGCGAGCTGGATCGTGCACTTTCAAGTGTAGACCTGGCCTTAGAGAACAACGTGCCGACTGGCATTGGAAGGATAAGACACAGAAGAGATATTCTTTTCTGTATTTTAATGCTTTCTCAGCGCCTTGAAAGTGATACTTGACCTGTATATCATAAATCCAAACCAGAACGTTTTAGAAGAGTCATTTATCTCTCAGCATTTCATGCTTCCATTGCATCTCATGATAGTGCATATCATCAAGTTATTAGTTAGACTAAGTGCTTCCTAGAGGGCACTGTGAGTTGACATATGTGAAGCTAGTTGATCTGAATGGCATATTCTAAATGAGGTGTTTTGCTTAAGTGACTAAGAATGGTTTCAGGGTGACCATTACATTTTGCCCTTTTCTACCCCAGAATGACCTGAAATGGAAGACAACGGGGTTCATTCTGTTGAGAATGAACCTCTTGCTCTGCCCAAATTTAGGTTTGCTGGCATTTATTCCAAGGACCAGAGAGAGGAAAGAAGAGTCAAATATACAGCTCATTTGCTAAAGGTGATGTGAGCAGGCTGTCTCTATGTGGATAAAATACTGAGAGGATGCAAGGAAGAAGAAGAGGAAAAAAGAATTTTGGGATGGTGAGGAAATACTTTTGTCCTACATCTTAACTGTGTGTCCTGTATACCTCAAGTAAAAAGGACTCAAAGGAAAGGCTTATTTCAGGCTTCTCTTTGAAAGAATAGTGTGCACAAAGGAGAACATGGTTAAATAAAACACTGATTAAGTCATTAAGTTTAAAGTTACGTCAACTCATGAGAGTTGAGAATGTATTAGAGGTTAGAAGGCATATGATTCACGCTGCCTCACTGCCATGGTTTCACCTGTTTTAAAATGAATTCTGTTTCATTCTTGAATTTTTAAACAAACCTGGACATAGAATTAACACAATAAGGATTTTAGTTTCCTCTTAATTTTGAGATTGGTTCCTGCTATTTTTCTTCTCATTTGTAAGCCACAAAGATGACATCATTTTTATGTCACATAGATATATATATGGCTGCCACTCATCTATATCCCTTCATTGATAAAAATCTTGCCACTCTTCTGTGGTTCAGCCCATTTTCTGGTCCATATTTAAAGTCCCCTGCTATGATTACTGCAGATCAGTTGGATGTTTTTGGCCTCAGATACCAGAAGCTGCATCTCACAATGTCTTAAAAAATAGAGCAGTTTATTACCTCACATGAAAAGACATTCACAGGTAGAGTGGGTTTTTTGGTTGAGTGATTTTGGTTTGAGTATATCCTCAAGGATTCAGGTTTTTACTTTCTTTCTGCACTGTCGTCTTTGGGGTTTGTCTTGTCCTCAGAGGGAGGCTCCTCTTGTAGTTATAGGACTACTCCAGCAAAAACTACGACAGTGTATTCTCTGTTTATAGTGTGGGGTGGTGAAGTGGAAAGAGAGAGAGATCATGGAGCATCTTTCAGGCCCTTAAGAGCCTTTCATTTTGTCTGATTGCATCCATCCTGGACCAAAATCATGGTCCAGGGAAATGGGGAAAACCATGGGCCAAGTGTCTGACTAGTCAGCATCACCACTGAGAGCTGTGAATTTAGCTAGGATTTGAGTAAAATGGAATTCTTTAGAAAAGAAGAAAGAAATAGATGTTGGGTAAGTAATCATCAGTGTCCATCTTAATTAGAAATCTTATGTAAAAAACAATGTAGACCACTTCATACCCATGGATGGGTTATGAAAAAAAATTGGTAAATAACAAGTGTTGGCAAGGATTTGAAGACATTCAAACCCTCATGCATTACTGATGGGAATGTGGTGTAGCCAGTGTGGAACATTTTGGCAGTTTCTCAGAAAAGTTAAACATAGCATTACCATGTGATTCAATAGTTCCACTGCTAAGTATATACCTAAAAGAATTGAAAGCAGGGACTTAAACAGATACTTGTACATCAATGTTTGTAGCAGCATTATTCACAAAAGTTAAAAGATGGAAATAACGCAAGCGTTCATCAGCAGATGAATGGATAAACAAGATGTGGTGTATAATACATTGGGATGTTATTCAGCCATGAAAAGGAATGAAAGTCTGAGACAAGCTCTAACATGGCTGAACCTTGAAAATGTTATGCTATGTGAAATACACCAGACACAAATGGACAATGGATGGTTCCACTTACATAAAGTACGTAGAATGGGCAAATTCATGAAGCGGGAAGTAGAATAGAGGCTCTTAGGAGCTGGGGGAAGGGACAAATGGAGAGCTGTTTAATGGGTACAGAGTTTCTGTTTGAGATGATGAAAAAATTCTGGAAATGGTGGTGATGGTTACACAATATTGTGAATGTACTTAATGCCACCGAATAGTACATGTATAAATGGTTAAAATGGTAAATTTTGTACTATGGATATTTCACCACATGAGAAAGGTGTACAGAACCAATGTGAGATCATGTATTGGTCACTTCAAGAGCTTATGAATAAGCATCAGAAATCAAGAAATTAGTTTCTTCAAGAAATTAGTTCTCCTTATCCCTGCATACCAAGATAAAGAGCAACAAAATTTGGAATATTGGTCTAATGTCCCTCAATGCTTGGTGCTGATTTCCAAAGACCAGCCCTCAAAAGTTGGTGTTTGTTCCCCATGAGAATCTTGGTTTCTTGAGGCTGGCCCCGTGGCCAAGTGGTTAAAGTTCTGCATGCTTCGCTTTGGTGGCCTGGGTTTGTGGGTTTAGATCCTGGGTGCAGACCTACTCCACTGATCAAGCCATGCTGTGCTGGCGAACCACATAAAAAATGGAGGAATCTTGGCACAAATGTTAGCTCAGGGCTAGTCTTCCTTAAGTTAAAAAAAATAAAAGGAGGGAATTGGCAGCAGATGCTAGCTCAGGGAGAATCTTCTGCAGCAAAAAAAAACTTGGTTTCCTTAGCCATGTAAGGTTCTGATAAACTTTCTAACTTCAGGCATTCCTATAAAACAAATGTAACCACAATAATAAACTTCAACAATAAACACAGGGCAAATTAAGCTGCGTCTTTCCATGAGTTTCTAGACTAGTATTTATTCTCTTAGTCATTTATTAGTATTTATTTCTTAGTCATCATACCGATAAGTTAGAAGTTGAGATATAGAGGAAAATGCCCAGTCTCTCTTTCTTGCTTTGTATTTTGAATGAAATAAGGAATAGGTAAAAAAATAAAATGGAGATGAAAGTAAAAGCCTTATTGTTGGTTGTCAGGACCTACTTTCTCCCATAAAGTAGGACTCTGGTAAACTGTATGATACAGTGAGGCTTCCACCCCAAATCCAGGTGGCCTATTAGCTGCTTTGGAACAGATTTGTGGGCCAGCCCAGCTTTTCAGGCCAGGTTTAACCTGACGCACCCAACCGGCCTCAGGAAACTTGGAAGGCAGAGAGAATGGTGTTCTTTCTTTTTTCACAACAGGAGGTCCTGCCCAGGTGCGCCTAAAAGGTAAAGAAAAATAATGAGTGGCCTGTTAGACCTGAACACAGGCAGGTCAAACTGCTTTCTGTACCTGATCCTAGCTACGCGTGAGCAGTGGCCTTTAACACATGAATGCCGTCTACCAATAGAATCTGATTTGGTGACTGTCAGACTCTTTCCAATCAGATTAGCTGCTAATCCTTTCTTGGGGAGGAACATGCTTCTTTTTACACTCATGGAGTGAGCATGGAAACAAGTCTAGATTTTCATCTCTCAGATGAAACTTGCACTTTGTTGGGGTGCACGAGCATGTGCAGACCTTGTAAGTGTATGTAGCTAGTAGGCTCTCCACCCCAATATTAATTCTCATGCAACACTATCCTAAGAGTGAGGGTTCCAGATGTCATTTACTTCCAATTTATCTCCTTGGTGTTGATGGAGCTCAGTCTTCTCGTATTGTTTCTGAAATAAAGTTGGACAACAAGCCGAAGGCGAAACAAACTGAAATTCTGTGAGCTAAATACGAAATCACTAAATGAATTTTGATTCTTTATATTGGATTTAGGACGTCCTTATCTGTCTCTGTTTTCAAACAATTTGTATACAAAAATGTCTAGCTCTTATAGCTCTTTCACTGAAGCTCATTAATATAGGACAGTAGCTTCTAAAAGATTCCCTCGACTCAGACTTCTTTTTCTTATTGTATTGAAAACCAAAGACATGTATATTATAGAATCTTAAAGCTCTAAGTGATATCAGTTATCTGGTCGATCCACTTATTTTAAAGGATTAATCAACTGATGCCTACAGCTTGTGGGTGACTCGTAAGCCCAGTGTCATGTGGCTGGTTGGTTGTAGGGCAAATCCTGGGATGTGGGTTATTTGTCCCTTTTAATTAGGATTTATTCAAATATTCAAATAAAGGAGAGCGGTGATACCCTTAGAAATATAGAGCTGTAAGGTAAGATCATCCCCATATCTTGGCTCTCAGGCCATTATCTTCTCTACAAGTGTAGATTTCTGGCAGAGATTATCTCAGAGGGAGGACACCCATGTGGCCAGGGCCTCACTTTACAGAAGGCCTAGGATCTTAAATTTAATTTTCACCTTAATTTTCTTTGGGTAGCACAAGAATGTTGCCTGACATTTTTAGGTCAAAAGTGTTAATTTGTTATATATTTAATTTGTCCACCTTTATTTTGGCATTTTTTTTCAGTTTTTCTTATCCCAGTTATCTCAAATACGGGCATAGCTGGAGTCTCTGGGGAGCCCTGAGTGGTTCTGTCCATGGCTGTTGGCCACGTAGCCCACATGACCAGGCGCGTGTTGCTCACTGGGGGAGAGCAAGTTGTGCTGTTTGAGTGCCCTCACTATCAGAAATTCCAGCTGTTCAAACCCTAGCTTTCTGAATCATAAGAGGCTTTCAGAATCACTCAGGACTCAAGAATAACTGAACAAAAGCTAGAAACCATTACCTTGGCAGTGAAACAGCAGAAATGGAAACAGCAGAGAAGAGCACAGGTTGTGAAGGTTAGAGGAGGTTCGCTGGATGCTGGATGTTGCACAGATTGGCTGTCTGTGTTTTCAAAGGACCTGTGAAACCTGAGAAGCATTCAGGGATGGGGTGAGGCAGAAGCTACCGAGAAAAGAAAAGCAGAGGGGAAAAAGGGAAGAGAGTGTGTGAGGAAGAGCAGCAGTGGTGGAGAAAGAACCAGTGGGAGGGATAGCAAAGAGTGGGCTCTCTGAGGAGATGAACTCCGAACACCAGAAAATTAGCCATTTATTCCCCAGGACTCTGTAAAGGAATACCATGTGTCTACAATGGGATATATGGAGGGGGGAGGGGAGCGGGGGATGGAGAAAGAGATTCACCCGAACTTAATCTCTAAGGTCAATCAAAAGCCATGGCAACCATAGGAATTCTGCACATTACACAAGGTGAACTTGACTGAGGCATTGTAAGTTGTGTTTTGATACCATTGTAATGTATCAATCAGGCTAAATTGATTGGAAAAAAAAGATCCTCTTAAGTTACCTGGGCGGGGTTGGGGGGGGCGGTGAGGAAAGAGGCAGTGTATTTTAAAGAAAAATGCAGAGTGGAAGTGGATCTTTAAAGTCCTTGGGGCTCAGGGCATCTTTCCTCCTCAATGTGTTTCTCCTCCTCAGGCCTGGCCTTTTCTCCTCCCCTCTCCTCCTCCTCCTTTTCTTCTCCAGCCTCTGTCCCACTACCTCCCTCCGCTGTTCTGTTGCCTCCTTCTCTTTTTCTTCCCCCTTTCCCTTCTTCTCTCTTGGCAGTTCTGCCTCTCTCTCTGCACATCTAATTCATTCTGTTTACCACCAGGTGACTTCCTCCCCCTCCTCTCCGTATCTTTACTGGTCCCTCCAAACTTTGGATTACACGTGGCATTGTTCCACCATTAGCTCACTGCTGACTGGCACAATTTCTTGGTGTTTCCCTTTATTCATTTTGAAAACAAAGAATCCCAATGGCTTAGCTCACCCTTTCAGATCTACCCACAGGCTGTGTCATGTGCTAGACTTTGAATCAGCTGTCCATGCCTCTGGTGCTGATTTTTGGGCCACTCATCTAGGGGCAGGGTCAGGGCAGGGTCACAGTGGTGTGAAATGTGGATGCTTAGGCAAAGGAGACTGTGATTGGGATGAGGAGTTAGGAGAGATCCTTTGACATCTCTGTTGCAGGCTTCAGCTCAAAAGTGTTGTAAGATGATGAACATAAATGCAGTAGAACAGAGCTGTGCTATAGTGTTATAGAATACAGTGTGGGACAACACAGATTCCATACTTCATCTATCAGAGACAAGCCCAGACGCATAAGGAAGTTGTGTTAGCTGTAAAAGAGCAAACAATCGTTGGACTTGAGAGGTTGATGAATCACTATAACATTCGTTCATCTCGCTTATATGATATCAAATCTTAGAAAGGCAGCTGTTCACATTTTTTGGTGCCTGGTAAATCATCTCAAGCTGCTGCTGATTCAATATCATGCATATGACAAAATTAGGCAAGTCAACTGTGTGTTACACGAGTGGCTCATTTCGCCTGATGTTCTATTAAATTTTCAGCTGCATCTCCATCTCAGACACGTAACATTAACTGATGTTCATAATGATAACCCTGAGTCATTAAGGAAATGTTGTATTATGTCTGGTACAGTACACTTGAGACATAAAGAGATACAATGGAGAAAGAACTAAGGCTTACTGCATACCTGCTGAATTACAGACACAGAGAGAGGTGAGCTGCTTACGCTGTTGCCCCAAAACAGCAGAATCCTGGGATGCAGGTACAGTTTTCCCTATTTCACAGCCAAGAAAACGTGTTCAGATAGATCAAATTGTCCCAAGTCGGGTGAGGAATCCAAATCTGTCTTACTCCAGAACTTGTGCTCTCCCCCTTATGCACCACAAATTTGTTCAATTTTTTTAATAAGAAATTTTCAAGTTGGAATTTAAGTGTGTTACTCTTAGCTAGCTGCCGTCAGCTAGTCGATGAATCAGACCCGAAATACCCACAAAAGAAAGAAGAGAACTAACGTTTGGGGACATGACCATGCACGATGATTTATTACTCTGTGAGCTATGTACTATTATCCCTGAGTTATGAGTTGAGGAAATTGAAGTTCATTGAGGCAAAATGCCTTGCCCAAGGCAGCACATTTAGAAAGCTATGGCTTTAGTCTCCTTTACTGGCTTCTCTTTCTCAATCCACTACTTAAATGTTAGGTTTTTTTAATTCTGACCTCAGCTCTTTTTTCTTCTCCTTCAATATACTTTTTTGGGGCAGTTTTAGATGTAAAAAGTTGGAAACATATAACTGTAGACCCCACCTCTCTCAAGTTCCCTACCTAACTTAATACTTCCTCCTTCAAATCCTATGGGACACTCAAACTCACAATATGTAATTCATTATTTTCAAGTCTCCAGATGTGTCTCCCACCCCACATTCCTTGTATCAGTGAATGGTCCCAGTTTACCAAGCAAGAAGTCTATGCATCTTCCTGCTTGAGTCAACAAATGCTGAGTGACTACCCACTGTTATCTTTGATATTCATCTCCCCTTTTCCTATGCCATTTCTTTAGTTTAGGCCAATCCTAAATGGCTGCAGTAGTCTTATGAGTTTGTCTTTCTCAGTGCCATTAGAGTGATCTTTCTGTTGAAGAATTTTGATCATCTTGCTTTTTGCTGACAGTTCTTCACTGGCTCCCTGTAGCCCAAAGGATAGCATCCATACGTCTTTGCATAGTACACATGATCCTTCATAACCTGGTCTCTGTTTGTGTTTCTCATCTTACCACCTGCCACTCACTCCAGCCTTCATGATGGTGTAATAATTTTCAGATATTTATGGTTCTCTGGACATAACAAATATTGTTGCAGTTTTCCAACTTTTCCTTTGTTATTCCCTTCACCTTCTGGTTCACTTTGCTATTCAGTAAGCTCTCTTTCAAATGCTATTTGATTTTTAAGCCATTCCGTTTCTTTTCAGGACTGCTACTACTCTTCATTACACTTCCAAAAAGCGGATATCTTAGTGTAGTGTAATTACATATGGACCTTGCATCCTTGCCTGATAATAGTGAACTGAGATGCAGTATGGACTGGGGTGGTCCTACTGTTCTTTGTGGCAGGCATGCTTTCTGATTGATCAGGCATCTGTTCTGAATGGTTGGTGGTCATGCCAGAGAGTTGTTAAATATTTTAAATGTCAACTCCAACTTACCGCCAAGCAGTATGTGGCATAAAGAGGGTGATCAGTAATACCTGTTGATTCTTGAATTATGAATAGTTGAATGCCTGACTTACGGCTAGCTGCAAAGCCCCATCTCACCCCCTTCCTCTCACTATCTCTGGTTGTACTGCACCGAACCAAACGGGTCCTTCTAACATATCCACCTGAGCTGGTTCTGTACTTTAGCAAAACAAAGAACAAATGTATCTCATGTCAAGCTCTCACTTATTTGGAGAAAGTTTGCGTGTCTTGTGGAGGCTTCATTCTTAACAAACTAATATACTCATTTCCCTCAGTTATTTCTCAAAAAATTTTAAGACCTCATACTGACCATAGATTGTCCTCTAATTATCCGAATTTCCACTTACAGCACAGGAATGAGAACTAAGAATAGTAAATCATTGCAGGATGAAGTAAGATGATTGGTTCCCGTGAGTTGGAAGGGCACTGGCTGATATTGATGCAGGCTTGAGGACTCCGGCTCCCTTCACAACTGTATCACATTGACTTGTGATCGCTTAAAGCCTGGGGTTGTATTTTATTTTTTTCATATGAACAGCTGTCAGATCAGGTGATTTTACTCCCATGCTTATACAATTGAGTCTTAAAATCCAAAATGCACCACTTTAATTGTGTCCCTGCCCATTTTAATAAATAAATTGATACTTCTGATGATCTCATCCTGCATACACCTGTGCTCTCCCTCCTGGTTTGACATTATCTGCAGTTTGACAAGTGTGTTTTCTATATCTTTCTTACAAATCACTGATGAAAATACAAATAGCTAAGTAAAACACAGAGCCCTATGTTACAGCACTTTTTCTCCAACTTCAGATGATTTATTAATTAATATTGTTTGCGTACAAAATGTTTGAGTAGATTCCTGACTCTTGGGGTGTTTTTTATTTCTCCCTGTCTCATTCCTCTACCTTGGCAACAAGATATAATTAGAGACTTAATTCAATGCCTTGTGTAGAATAGAGAGTACCAGGTCTGCAAGTTTACTTAATCTCTCAGTTTACCTGCCCTTATTGGATAAGCATCGTCGTCGTCGTCGTCATCATCATCATTCATCTTTTGCAATCGATTTACATATGTAAACCCCAGTCTTAGTTGTTATCTGGGCCCCAGTGCTACATCTCAGAGTGATTTTTCACTTAGATTAACCTTCAATTCCATGACCTGGAAGGTGCAAGTTCTCTCCAGCTTCCTCTTGAGTCCCAGAGGAGCCCACTCCTATGGCCTCCTCTGCCTGTCTCCTCTCAGCTACCTTAATAAACTCAGATGCAAACTAATTTCAACAAGATATACTCTTATTATTCTGAGATTTCTGTCATTGCCACAAAGTTTCCTTATGGGTCAGAAATAAATTTATGGTAGACATTTCTTTTCCTGCTGCCTCTACATATCAATCATTTTTCTGCAAAGAAAGTGAAAATGTATTGAATGGGAAACTTTGAAACATCACACAATTCTGTTTCTGTGTTGTGGGCATATTTCATGTCTTTGAATGGCTACTTTTGTTCATTCCCGTGTTAGGAACAATGAACTGTTATTATAACTGGTGTAAAGCAAGAGTTTCCAAGATACAGTTAATTGGTAATTTTAGAGAATTGAGAAAAAGAGAGGTTAAATTGATCTTCACTTGGGTACCATCCTTTCTTTGCCCTGAGAAATGAAGAACTTTAGCGTATCAGGAGGCTGATACTACTTTTCTTGATATGGCCTTAGTTATGATAAATAAGGCTTTATTTTAGTGGGTTGTTAAATTTTAGGAAAGTAAAACTGTATAGAATAGTGTTTGTAGAAGCATAGCCTCACGTTTATCGTCTGGAAATGTAAAAAGGTGGTAGGTAATTTAAATACTGAAGGACGCAGTTTATCAAATGGTAAGTTAGGTGCAAAAATGACCTTGTGAAAAGATGACTCTGTTAATGGAAGCCTTTTAGTAAAGCCACTACACCCATGTGGAAATAGATCAAACTACACAAAACTACCTTACTTGGGACGAGATGGATTTGATAGTGGACATGAGTGGCCCTTAGGAATGGAAGCTTTTGTGTTTGTACTGCCTCTGTGCATCAGTTGGTCTTACCCAACATAACCAAAGTAAAAAAGGCCACTAAAAATGTTTCATTTTATTTTGCCTTTAAACAGGAATTCCTACGTCTAGTGTAAGATAGATGCTTCAACTACTTCAATCTATATATTGTTGATATTAATATATTGCCTTGCTATTTTCATTTTAAATGTCATTCTAAAGAGTATAACCTCTGTAATATTGATATTGAAACATCGCTATTTCCAGTCATGCAATTAATCCTAATTAAACATTAGTACAAAACCTGGCAGATCAGGAAGTTTTTAGTTCCATCTTGAATATTATGATTGCAGAATTAATTTAACAAGCCTGTTTGGGGATAATACATTCCAAGAAGAGATTTAAAGAAGCATCAATTTATTCAAAGGGGTTATATCTGCTTCATATGCATTCTTCAGTGGTATTCAGGAAACAGCTGTCAGATAAATTATAAAAATACATGATAAACAAAACCAACTCATCTTTTTAATTGATTTTAATCTGGCTTCATCTAGGCAGCATAATGCTCTTCACTCACTGATAGTAGGGTGAATAATACGTGTGCAATTACTTTGCAATTCACCACGACTTAAAAATACGCAGAACCTTCATCTATTACTAATATGGTCTAATGTCCATAGTGGCAAATTATTGGTGGGAGCTATTGAAGATCAACTGATAGTCATACTGCTTTGTTCAAATTTAATTTCAAGAAACAAAGGAAGATACTTGATGACTGGTAGTAATAGCAATGACTTATGGGAAATTGCAACTGAATAATTTATTGATTGATTGTGACTGAAAGTCATTATCCTCTGATGGCTGTTCGAACAGCTAATGTGAAACAATGCAACTGATGTCTATCATGAAACCTCTGCCATATTAGCTCTTTCCTAATTGTTGCTTTTATTCCTTGCAGCTGAAAATGGAACATAAATGGAAGAGTCATGACTGTAAACTTGGTTTTTTGCTGATGGAGGAAGTGCTTTTCAGTTTTCAATGCCTGCAAATTAAGAAGGAAAAGATTTTATTTAGTTACCGAAGAGATATTCAATATTAAATAATGAGGAATATCAAGGTTCCTTGGTCTGACGATGTGCTTTGTGATATTCAACATCAGAGGTTAGCACAGTCTCTTCTATATAGGACGTAATTGAGAGTGGCCCGTGGTATTGCTATGTGCCACATAAAAAGAGAGAAAGTTGACTCTGGCAGCTCTCATTATCATTTATTTATCTGTCTTTCAAACTTAGTCCTCTCCCTCACTTCATAGCAATTGGCTAGATTTCTCTTGAATTTTGTACCGCTTACTGCAAACTATCAGGAATACAGTAAAGCTTCAGGGTAGGATTCATAAGGTCGACCTAATTATCTTGTTATATCAGATATTGGAAATATGCACAGGATATAATCAATGTGTAGTAATGTCATTTACCTACTTAATTTTAAACACAGTTTATAAACACTAATTTAGTTACATTCTATCAATGTGATAAGAACTCATGCATTAAAAATTGTCCACTGATGATTTTTGCTATTAAACTGTACAAAGCTATTTTAATCCATTATGGAATTTTCTATAAAGACAGCAAGAAACAATACATTAAATGTGTCAAATTTAGGAAGTGAATGTTGACAATTTTTGTTTTCTAACAGATTTGGTCCATAATGGAAGTTTATCAAAATGTCAACATATCAGGGTGCAATGGCAGGTTAGTTTTGTATTCCTGTCATCTTGAAATTGATCAAATGTTTATTGCCTGCCTGTCTTGTGTGTAGAACTTGACCATTATCATAAGCATAATATAGGAGACTCAACTATTAGGTCTAATTGGCTGTTTCTCAGGTTGCCCTCCTCACATCCTTGCAGTTTTCAGCCTTACTTTAATGATTTCTCACAATGCACAAGTACATCTTGAATATGACACTTCTGCAAAAGGGTTTTATAGGGAGTATATGGGGGAAGAGTGTGTGATTAAATAGTTAATAGGCTTTTCACTCAGTGAACATGTCCATGAACCTGATATGCATTTGTTTTGACATCTCAGAAATGACGTGCTAAATGACTTCTCTTGGTTGTTGATTAGCAAGACTCCATCTAAAATTTTCCATCAGATTTTTCTCCCCCTCATTTGGATGTAAGCCTAACTAGCTGCTGAACTGGAGATGAGAAGGAGAGAATGGGTTGGTGGGGGCAACCTGGTTTGACCTGTTGTTGGGGTGAGTACTGTAAATCCTAATCCATCTGGGCTCAAATGACCAGCAATTCTATTTTTTTGGAAATCAGTAGTCATGAAATGAATCATAATATGTATATATTTATGAATAATTACTGGAGGGGCAAATTACTATTTTATACTCTTAAAAATCCAAAAAATGGGAAAATTGCTAGGAAAATTTATCCACTCCTTTTATGAGAAATGTTTGGATTCCTATCAAGAATGTAAGGTTCTGAGATTTTTGTCCTACTTTCAGGCCAACAATTTAGCCTGCAACAGTTTCATGGCACTTGCCAGCAAGAGACATGACTCTCCTGGATCAGAGACAAAGAGTTTATTACTCACAACACAGTCAGCAACAGGAAAGTTATTATCCTTCCAGGTGCTTTGGGGATGATGTGAATAGGTCCAGTGTACATAGTTGATTTGTGTTACATCTGAGGAAACTTGAGTTTAGGGAACCTGAATCTTTTATAATGGATACTAAGCAAATCTGCCTCCACTTTTTCTGGAGAGAGCCATTGTCTTGACTATACTGGGCAGTAAGGAAACTTGCCTTCTGTTCTCGTGGGAGACACTTAAGTGCATCTTCTCAAGCCATTTGCTCTGCTCTCAATATGTACAGAAATGAGAGAGACCTGTAGAGATCTAGCTCCTCATGTACTTGCTATGCACTAGTGATTGTGCAATCTTATGGCAAGATGATGACCAGGACTGATAAGGCTCTTGATAAGCTTGCATAAGGTATATGTTTCTGACTCAGATAAAATAAAAAGAATATATGGTATGGAAAACAACACCAGTGGAGATGAATGTGAGCCAGTTTTACCAATAAAATTTTCTAAATAGTGTAACTAAGGCAAGAATATCTTTAACTCCAGGTTGAATTAGTATGTACTGCCATACATCAAATTTAAGAGTGCTCTTAATCTTTGACTATACATGGAATATATATTTTGATCTCATATTGTTAGTTTAACATGTATATCATACATATACAAATTAAGATTGCTTTTGGAATTGTTTTCTACCTTTCAAACAATGTAAAATTTTTTTTTAAATTCCTGCTACAAATGGTTGTGATTTTCCTTTAACAGTCTGTGTTAAAACTAAAAGTGCTGAAATTCAAATTGTTATAAGAAAGGATCATTGTCAAATATTTTTTGAATTTTATAGTAATAATTTTGTCTGTATAAAATTTCCCTTGATCTTATTTTTTCTGAATTATTTTAAAAAAGTTTGTTTGGCCTCCCATACCTTTGCATAAACCTTCAGTGACTTTGGTAAATTATATCCTAGTGAAATTATCCACCTTAATTATCACCACTTTCCAACCACAGATTAAAAAGCTTACCTGCACCTAAAATATCTCCATTACCACATTCCTTTAACCTCATCAGACTTTTATCATCTCTCAGGAACTGTCTGTGTTAAATGAGGTTTTATAGTCAAATTTGATACATGCCCTTTGGTAGGTTATTCTGGAAATTTTTATTGTATTTTATGGTAAGATTTTATATCAAACTGTAATAACTTCTCATTTACTCAAAATTTTTGGATAATATAGTATTCAGGTTAAATAAATGTCCTGGTGGGCTGAAAATTGTTGACACGTATAGCACAACATTTGCAATACATTCATAACAAATTTTAAAAGGACTCAAAGAAAATTAAGTACATTTCCTCTTCCATTGCTTCTAGTCTCTTATTATGAAGAATGGTAATTTCTAAATAGTTTTGAAGATTTAAAGTATTTGACAAAATCTGCACCCACCCAGTATTCTATTTACTATTAGCTCTTTTTTCCTATGAGTATGGTTACTGTCATGTTTTACTTTGAAATGCCTGAATACAAAATTCATGGGAAAAAATACTGGTTACTTCTATTTTGTGTTTATTAGGGTTTTGCATGAATAGGACTTTTAGTGAACCAGATTTTCCTGTATATATTTTAAGATAAATTTGTTGCAAGTATTTAAAATTAATAGAAATGTATAATGTCATAGAACTAGAAGAGACTTTAGCAATGATCTAGCCCAACATCTTCATTTTACAAGTGAGGAATTTGGGACCCAAATAAATTAACAGACTGACTCATCGTTTTCCAGATTGTTGTTTAAAGAACTGATGCTAGAATCTCTCAGTTCATTGCTCTTTCGTAACCATATTACGCTGAATCTAATATGACATTAATTATAAGATGTACCATCATTTCACATATCGCTAAGAAAGAAAAAAGCACTTTCGATAAAATTATGACAGTTTCATCAGTGATAGTCCCACTCAAATCGTGAAAACATCACCTCTGTTCCTCATTGTTTTGAAACCTTTTTTCACGTATTTGAAGGGATTGGGCAAATTTGTCCTTCCTTGAACTGCACTGAATGGTGTGTGAGGCAATCCTTTTGCACAAGTATCAGTAACAAAATATAACACAGCTTCCTGTAACTATAGCTACCTTTCTTTCTCATGTTTCATAGAGCACATGTTTGTTGCCTTGCAGGAAAATCAGTAATTGTGGTCATCCATCCAATGAAGAATATTTTACTAAGACCAAATTTATGTCCTGTCCTTTGTTGCCATGCATTTCAGAAAAAAAACAGTAAATTTTTGTTTCAGTGATGAATCATGCTATAAACATTTTTAAGATATTTTAAATAGCAATTAAACTCAACACATTGTACCAAATGCACGTGGCTCCATTAGGAGGAAGACACTTTGCTTAGTTGTGACCAAGAGCAGGTAATTGCAACTATGTAATACCTGTCCCTTGTGTTTGTCCTCCCAGCATTTGAAAGACAGTATCAATTGTAAGCAGCATCTTGATTTTCAGAGATGTTAAAATGTAAAATAATAATAAAAAAAATCTGAGTCTTAGAATTGGTGAAATATAATACCTCCTTAAGATTTGCTAGAAGGATACTTTAGAATATTTCTTCTTAAATAGTATTTGTGCAGAAGACTGTGATTATTTATCTGTAAAGGCTCTTTATCTCTTGGTAGCACATCCAAACAGAGAAACACATATGGGACTCTTGATTACATGCATATTCCATTATATTTTTATACTTTGCAAAATCTAATAGGTTGCTTAGTAAATGCTCCTTAATATACATGTTCAAAGTTCTGACTTAGTGTTTGGTAGGGTGCTCTTATCTTAGAAAACTTATTTACATGTAATGAATGTCATAAATGGCCATGGATTTTTAAAATTGCGAGTGGTTTATTTGCCATTATTTTTCAAAATTGAAATATATTTCAAATGAACATAATTTCAAAATCATTAAACCATTCAAAGTGGTTCCTAGTTATATACTGTTTATCTGAATCATGTTGTTAAATATTCAGTAATAAAGGGTTTGATTAGTTTTTTTTTTTTTAATTCCTTGGTTTGGAATGTACTGAGTCTATATAGAGGACAGGAATTTAATTTCAAATAAGTTTTCAGACTGTTTCTGGCTCACCAAGTCGTAATTACTATTTTGACAGTTATGTCTCATAGACATTTATTTTAATTGCATATGTTAGCAATTCATTTTGGCATGACAGTCTCTGCCATTGTTGTGTTGTCGAATATGCTTACAGAAACTATGTCAGAAATTCAACATGTGGAGAACAGTAATTAACCTGAATCATCAATTAGCTTTTGTGAATACAGATGTCCTATGTTGTTTTTTTCTTTTTTAATTAAGTAAAATCTCACTAATCCCGACTGTCTTTCCTCACTCCCTGTTTCCAGCCCTCACAAAGTCGTCTTAATTTACCTCCTAAATACGTTTTGAACCTGTCCTCCTTTTGTCTCCACAATCACTAGTGTATCTTAACATTACCTCTCATCTGGGTTCTGCTTGTAGCCTGCTGTCTCCCCCACAGCCACTCTTGCTCCCTCCAGTTCATTTTCCACCTTGCAAACAGAGAAATGTTTATAAATGTAGGTCATACCTGGCCATACCTACTTGCTTGAAGTGATTTGGGGGCTACTCCATAGGAAAAGACTAGCATCCTTAAGAGAGGCTACAAGACTGTGCACGGTCTATTCTGCTACCCTCTCTGAGTCTTATCATGTGCCCTTGTCTCTGTCTGCTAGGCAGAGTGACCTGCATCCCGTACCTTGAACGTAGACATGCTTCCTCCTCCACAAGGCCTTTACACATGCATTTGTTTCTCCTGCCTAGAGTAATCTTTTCACCCTGCCTCACTTTTCTTGGCTGGCTCCCTTAGCTTGCACGTCAGGTCATTTCAAACATTACCTTCTCTGACCACCCAGACCAGAATAGGTCTTTTTGTTGTGTTCTAGTAGAGAATTGAACATGTCCTACATCATTCTCATCACAGAGTGTGAACATATATTTTTTGTGTTTATTTTAATAGAGTGTCTGTGCTGGACTATAGTGAGCTTTACAAGGGTACGGATTCTGTCTGTCTTTTTACCACAACATTCCCAAGCCATTGGCACAACAACTGGCAGACAGTGTGTGCAATAGTTACTTGTAAAAAAAAAAAAAAATGAATAGCTCTCCTATAATGGAATGATAATGGGTGATTATTAAGTCTGGGCTAAAGTGAAGTTGACATTTTTAAAGAAAAGCTCCCCACGAAAAATAACATGACCAATGCAGTGGTCCTTTTAAATGGTCTTTGAGGAGTTTAACAGTACATAATTTGGAAATGCTCTGAAGTAAAAAAATGTATCTTATCATTTGTGAGTCAGACTCCTTATATATTTGGTTGGGCACTGCCACTTCCTGGCTGTGTGAAGTTGAGCAATTAATTGCCTTTCTGAATCTGCTTCCTGCTCTATCTGCTCTAAATATTTCTCTGGCTTGTTGTAAAGAGAAAGCAAGTGGGGTGGGGTGTGAACAATAAAGTACTGCTTATAAGGTTTAACTATTTGAGTATGCCAAGTAGATTCGCTGGCAGCCATTAATTTGATTTTTACAATGTCCTTGAAAATAATTTCTAAAATGCCTTTAAAATGTTCTGCACTTTGGATTTTCCGCTAATTAAAAGTAGCCTCCTTTTAAGTAGTCTAAATTCTTAGGTACTTTAGTATATCATGTGTATTTGTTGTATTAACCATCGTTTGTATTGAGGGCAATACATTCAATGCATACTTTCAAATTTAGAAGTTTCAGCTCACCTGAAGAAGAGTTCATAATATAAAATAACTTTTAAGTCGAGGCTCTTTTTGCTGTCATAAAAAATTCTTGTTTATACTTTTTAGCTCGCTCTTGTAGTTAAACGGTAGTCTTGTCAGTAGATTACAAAGGACATTATTAAACTTAATACAGTGACCATTTTAATAACATATGTATTCAGCCCATATGTTGATCAGACTTTTAGGTAGGTTGCCATTTTTATACATATGTACCCATAATATACATATTTTCATATATCTGTATTTAAGTGTAAGGGGTATATACATACTTTTATTTTAAAACTTTAAACACTTTTGAGAAGCTGCTTCTGATTCTTTCCATGCTGTGCCATTATCTTATATACAAATTTGGAGAACAACCATTTGGAGTGTAATGGTCAAGCCTATCTTTGATTAATGTTTATCTTTAGGTGTTTTTTTTTTTTTTTTCTTGTTTTTGGTAAGAAAGGTTGGCCCTAAGCTAACATCTGTTGCCCATCTTCCTCTTTTTGCTTGAGGAAGATTGTCACTGAGCTAACATCTGTGCCAGTCTTCCTCTATTTTGTGTGTGGGACACTGCCACAGCATGGCTTGACACGCAGTGCATAAGTCCGTGCCTGAGATCCAAGTCTGTGAACCCTGGGCCACAGAAGCAGAGCACATGAACTTAACCATATGCCACCAGGCCAGCCCCTTTATCTTTAGGTTTTACAATAGTATTTTACAGCTGTAAGCACTGTCTTACATCTGTATTGCATAGAATAGTCATATATATATTCTCCTCCTCCCTGTCCAAGGGCAAATTTTTCCAACAGAGCATCAAACAACCAATTTGGTAGACACTTTTCACTAAGTTCAGTCTGTGTTTTGGACTAAAGTTTATAGCCCAAATTATGAAACAGCAATTTAGATGCTACGTAAGATTAGCTATGCTTCTCACCTCGTGGATGGTCTGTATTCATTACAGCTCAGTGACTCTTCTCCAAAATATAGGGAGATAGGTACTTTTCTTGCTTAGTAAACCACCTCCCATATTTTATCTCTAATTATAATAATTAGAGTGATTATAGGGCTTTTTATTGCTGAAATTAGTAATCTTTTTCCTATGTCAAAGATGTTCTTAAAAGAAATATGGGACTAATGACTGGAATTCAGACATAACACATATTTTGTAATACATAATGGTTTATGTATTTGAAATTTGTATGTATGTAATAATGTAATTTATGATACTTTAGTACATGATAGCATTTAATCCTGAGTTCATTTCAATTTTAGTGAGTTTCTAACAGGTTTCCAGCCTAAATTTTGCATCAGAAATGCATTTGCTTTGCTCCAAATAGGATGTATTCTTGTTTTTGATAAGATATTAAGTTCAAATGTGTCTCTTTTAATTAATGTTGTATTGACTTTTGCACATTCTCTCATGAATGTCTGTTAAAAAATCCAGTAACTAGTGTGCTTTAGCTTAAGGCTACTTATTAAAGACGTTGTGCTCTTATTTGTTTTTATTATCCCTAAGGTGAAACCTGTAGGTTTCTTAGTCATTGCATTCAAGTCTTCTGAAACTGCTGAATCCAATTTTATAACACCCTGCCAATGCAGACCGGTATGCATTGTTCCTTTTCCGGTCATGGTGGTTAATTTCATGAAAATATTATTGGAGAAGCTAAGGGTTGGGGGAACCTCACATGTTCACCTGGGTTGAATTGCTTCCCAATTCATCCAACATAACTTCCTAACATGCCAGGCGTGGTTGAGAATGGGGTGCTCTATAGAGATTGATTAGAACCGTGAAACATGAAAACTAGTAGTGCCTAAAGTCAACCATTTAATTCAGAAATGATCAGAGAACCATATTTTTATTGACCATACTGGAAATAATTCAGGGAACATTTTGTTCTTTTACAGGTGGTTGGAGTTCCTGGAAGAGTAGAGAAAGTAGTTTTGTTTCACTTGTATGATTGACAATTTTATATGATTATAGATTAATCTTCATAAATATAATTAATATCACAATTCTGCCTGCCTCTAAAATGAAGATTTTGTAAGACATAGTATTAGTCAACAAGTAATATTTGCTATTCTAAATGCTTTTACATATATATTTCATTTCATCTTTATAATAACCCTCTGTATTAGTCTGCTTAGGCTCCCATAACAAAATACCACAGACTGGGTGGCTTAAACAACAGAAATTTATTTCCTCACAGTTCTGGAGTTTCCGATATCAGAATGCCAGCATGATGAATTTCTGGTGAGGACTCTCTGGCTTGCAGATGGCCACCTTTTTGCTGTGTCTTCACGTGGCCTCTTCTTTGTGCACACATGGAGAGAGACAGTGAGGTCTGTGGTGTCTCTTCTCATAAGGACAGCAATCCTATTGGACTAGGGCCTTACCCATGTGACCTCAACCTCAATTACTTCCTTAGAGGCCCAGTCTCCAAACAACCACACTGGGAGTTAGGGCTTCAACATATGAATTTGGGGGGGACACAACCATGCATTCTATAACATCCTCCAAATGAGGCTCTATTATAAGCATCTCCAGTTTACGGAAAAGGCAATTGAGACGCAGAGAATTTGGTGATTTGCCAAGTGTCATACAGTAGCAATTGGTAGAACTAGGATTCAAATCCAGGCCAGCTCATTCAAGCCTCATGCCCTTATCTGCAACTCTATCCTCTGCATTAGCCCGAGATCACATAGAAAAGGTAAAAAGAGTAAAGATATTCTGTGATGTGAATACCAGATTAAAAAGAAGACTTGGAAGACAGATTTCCTACTTAGAGTTATAGGGCTTGTGAAATTTCTCTAATCTAGAATGAGCTTGATCATGCTTTCTTAGTTTTTTGTGTGTTCCATCTCTTTTGGTTAGTTTTAAATCAGCCTTCCTCAAAGTAGAGCCTGTTAACAGATTCTCAAACCCAGCTCACACGCACTGAATCAAAATTTCTTGGGGAGTGGCAGCTTGAGCCTGCGTTTGTGAAGAGTTCCCCAAATGCTTCATATGTGTTCTAAGGTTTGTGAGTCACTGCTCCTCAAAGAGACATCCAGTTTGGGTAGGTGACATGTTCGAAGATTGACCCACGTTTGGGTGAGGGACTGGTCATGTTGAAGCTCTTGCTCAGCAAAGAAAGGTTGACACTCACCAAGCTCTTTAAAGACAGCTCTCCAAGAAAACGTATTCTGCTTTTAGGTAATCTAAACACTGCCAGCATTTGCTCCTCATGTCTCTTTCACTGTTTGGCTTGAATATTTTCCCAGTTCCATAATTTGGCTCCATTTCCTGGTAGCCATCTAGATATATGCATTGTCTGCCATGCCTTGATGGCACCCACTCCCATCTCCCTGTAAAGTCCACTCACTTTACCATATGACATCTTTTCTTTCTTACAAGGATATCATGCACTGCTTCACTCAGGACAGACTCCCTTGTCCTCTTCTTTCTAGCTTTGCTCTTCCTTATGACCTAGAGAGTGGTAAGTTGAGGAGCCCTGACAGGCTGACCTCACTCAACATTATTTGAAAGCCGAATTCCGACACTAGGTTACATATGGATTGCTTACACTGCATGGAGCGCTTATTCTAAGATACACTCTAAACAAAGTTCCACAGTCAGTTTTGATTGGGAAACACTTCACTTGGGTCTCCATCTTGGAGATAAACAGTGCCCTTTTAGCATAGTAAACATTCCAAAAAGAAAATAACTAATTCAACGTAGTTTAACCCACCAATCTCCAAACTTATTTGATCTCAAACTCATATTTTCTGCATAATTTTGTTGATGTTCTGAGGAACTAATGTGAACGCAGTTTAGGAATAGTTCACTGCACTGGTGTGCATTGGTTCACTGGGGGAGGCTTATTTCCCAAACGTATTTTTTTTAAATTCCCAGAGCTTACCTGGGGCAGAGGGTTGGGGTGATCTCTAAACAGCTCTGGAAAATGTTACCGCAGCGAGTTTAATAGATTAGCTAACAGAGTACAGAGCAATGAGAACTTTCCCCAGGGCACATATGTTTTGAGGTGAGAAGGGTAGCATGAAAGAACTTGAACTGAAATTTTGGGTGTAGCTGGGATGATTGTGGATGTTCTGCGTTAATGCCAGTATACTTGGGAGGGAAGAGATGAATGTAGGATTCAGAAGATTGGAGAAGATGAAAGAAAACATGGATATGAAGATAGGGGATTTAAAGGCAGATTTTATGTCCTTCACAAATTCTGTTAGCTGCTAACCTTGTCAGGAAGGTAGAGAATAGATATGTACGTATAGTGGTGTGTGTGTGTATGTGTATATGCATGCACACATGTGTCTATCTATAGATTTTTAATTTACTAAAATGAATCATCTCAGGGCTCTAAACTTAAG